TACGCATAGAGTTGTCGAGCGAAACAACATCGATTTCCCAGACGTGAGTGATTCCATCACCAATGAGAGAAGGACCATCGAATCCAGTGCGAGTAGCATAGAGGTAATCGATGGTAACGGTTTCAATAATGCAAAGGAAGTTTGGGTTGACTTTTCGAGCAGCTGAACAGGCGTACTTCAAAAAGTTGTTGATGTTTGTGTGACGCCATTGAAGCTGTTGGATTTTGCAGGAACGTTAGAACAAAAGCAGAGTCATCATAATTGTAATCTTACCCAGGCTCGGAAGTTCTCGTCCTTGTAGTTGACAGCCTTTGGAACTGTCCGGCCAGTATCAGCCTTGAATTGGGCAGCAGCCCTTGGCGAGGCATCACACCAGAGACCAGTGATGTCGTTGTAGAGGGGAACGTCAATCCAGACACCGTCAGCACCAGATCCGGCAAGGAGAGCCACACGCTTGGCAAAGTAATCTTTCCAGCCAGAGTTGAAGTCCATCCAGGCACTCTCGACACCAGGGTCCACCCAAAAGACTTGCCCAGAACCAATGAACACATTGGTTTGATTCGTTGTAATGTCGTATTGAACCCAATCTAGTCATAAAGGTTAAAATACGGTGAAGTCAATACAATGTAAAATACCTGGGTGCTGTTTGGCCATGCTTTTTCCTGCCGTGACTGCAGTTTTCTCTGATAACACTTCGCCACCTGGGTAGTAGACCACAACCTTCATTCCCTGGGAATGAATGTATTGAGACACAGTCTTGACATTGTCAACAGCTCCGGCATAGGCAGCATCGTCAAGGTACCCAGAGAACTCGGTGTCAAGTTCGACGACAGTAACTCCTTGGGCTTTCATACCGTCCAAATAAGCCTTATCAGTTGGCTCTAAGTTGGCAGTTCCATCACCGAGGGCGTAGGCGGCAGCGTCACCAGCCCGGGCTTTGATTGCCCAATCCGGAAAGGAGCCGATTGGGCTAGTGATAGGAGTTCCCATCGACAATTTGGAGCATGTAGGGGCTGTTAGGCAGGTATGCAGTTAGTTGAATGTAGACGCAAATGCTCGGCTTGATCGATACCTCGGGCAACAGGAACAGCAAAGGCAGACCCAGCCAAGACAGTGAGGACCAAGTTGATTAATACCATTTGACTAAAGAAGCATTAAAAAGTTGATCAGCGGTGTGAGTTGTGAAGTGGTTAACGCTGAGCCGACGCCCATCCAGCTATTGACACAGACAGAACGCCCTATTGCATCAGGTCACCATACATCACAACCAACGTTCCATGTCAGAATTGGGGTCCGGGGAAGGATACAGTTGCGAAAGTCAAGTTGTCTGAGCGTCTACCTTTGGTGATCCTTTTTTCCCAATAATGGCACAAAATTGTTGACTTAAAAACATTTTAATCATCATTTAATCAAAGAAACCCTAGTTTTTTCAACGCCAAATTTAGCCAAATTTTGTTCAGTGCAATCAATATCGCGAAAAAGCCAAGGAAGTCCTCAAGGCGCGCGATGACCGAGTCCTTATCAGTGGTAATGCCGAACTTCGAGCTTTTGGCTTTGGGAAGACAGTGTGGCGTTGGCTTTTGGTCCTTTTTGATATCGATAAAACATGGGGACGATTTTTCTGGACGGCGATTCTATTCCCAGTCTCTTGTACATTTGGGGCTCTTGCCTCCCGTCCTTCACCTGGAAATTAAAATTTATCCTTTTGACAAAAAATCAAGCGACGCTACCTTTATGATGGCGATCCAAATTAAATCCATTTGGTGCAGCTGGTATTGCTACAGGGGCAGTCGCAACATATGTGCACGTCGTAAACAATGTCACTGCAAGAAGGGAAAGCAACTTCATTCTTGAGATTCTTTTCATCGTATTGTTGGAATAATCCCATTGTAATTTGCACATTGTTTGAATTTGATGTCAACAAACGTGATAAACCCACACGTTCCACCTTTATTCCACCCTTCCCTCACCGATAAAAAAACAAGGAAATAAACAAATAACCACAACAAAAGCCCCAGGGCTTGAGGTTCTAAGAAGCGAAGTTGTCTTCCGGAGTATGGTCACCAGTCGTTAGCGGTCCAGAAGCGGAGGCCGAAGTACTGTCGTCATACCAAGAAATAACCAAAGATTCCGCATTTCCACCCTTCAATCCAGAATTCAGTACCTAATTTCAACAAGTAAATACACAACAACACCAAAAACCAGCAGTCGTACCTTTTCTGATTCGTGCCGAAATGCCATCTCTAAAACCAAACTTGAATCTGAGGAGTTGAAATCCATCAATATGACCCGACCCAACGGTTGCAATTGCTGCATCAGCAGCACTTTATCAGATTCGAGAGCACCTTGGACTGACAACTTCTTGGGCCGCAAATCCAAAGATCGAGCGACAGGAGCCCCCGAACCAACATAATTTCCTCTGTACCCACCACGACCACCCCTTCCGCGAAAAGTTTGTGGTCCACCACGGAGGATCGGCGTATGCGCTCGGACAGCATTCGCCGGATCCAATCCCATTGCCTGCGCCTGAATATTGTGTGTCAAAGAGATAATGTCGACCCCACGCAAACGAAAATCAAGAAAACCACAAACCTCGGCCTTTAGCTTTTCTAATTCAGCAGCATCTTCATCAGGATTGCCTTCAGTTGCATCTTCTTGTTGATCCACTTCAGATGTCAACAAAATCTCCATGCTCTTTTGCTTCGCAGCAGCAACATTTGCGGCATTCTCAGCCGCCTTCTTGCCTTCCTCCAACGCATCCTTCAACAACAACTGCACACTTTTCAACGTCTCCATCAACTCTTGCTTTTGCTTTGGCGTCAGAGTCTTGGATTCCAGTTTCGTGAGAAGTTGCTTTTGTGTCTCCATTTGAGTCAAAATGAATTGCTGTTTTTGCTTCGCTAATTCTTTCAATGTGTCAACAGAGCTTGCAGTTCGAGGGTATTGCTGAGGTTGCTGATGTTGCTGTTCGAGGGAAGATGAGTTCGATTGATGTTGTTGTGGATGTGGTTGCGAATGAGATGGAGTTGAAGATACTTGTTGAGGTTGGGGTTGTGCTGGGTCTTGGAAGTACACTTTCACAAACCGATTACCAAAAATAACTTCAGGTGAGGTATGTGCGGCTTTCGCTTCTTCCGGGGACGAGTATTTTACTGTTGCCCTTTGAAACGGAATATCCACTTTTATATCCGTGATTGTGCCAAATGTCTTGAAGTAGGAATTTACAGCGTCCAAATTACAATGCGAGTGAGGAATATTTTCGACAACAAGGGTATCGTTGGCCTGGTTTCGGTGGCGTGGTGGACCATTAGGTGTGAATCCTCCACGAAATCCGCCGCGCATACCGCCACGCATGCCTCCGCGAAATCCACCACGAAACCCCCCACTTTGAAATTGCTGCTGTTGTAGCTGTTGTTGCATCTGTTGCTGTTGGGCGAATGCGTCGGGATTTGTAGGTTGCGAAAGTCCCATCTCTATAGAAATTCAATTAGTTTCATAAAATTGGCGCGTGGTTTCAAAAAAAAAACTACAAACCAAATCCACCAGGATTTATGACGGGCATGAAAGGTGGGGCGTTGTTGGGTCCGTTTCTCATGAACTGCGGATGGATGGGCATAATTCCAGGCATTCCAGGCATTCCAGGCATCATTACAGGGCCGCCAATAGGACCATTTCTATTATTCATTCCAAACCCTGCTCCACCCATCATCATTCCCGGTCCGAAGCCATTATTATTATTATTGATTGGAGAATGATCGTACGGGCAAGATTCCCCTTTGGAGCAAAACCCTCTACCTATAGTGAATATTTGAGCACTACACAACGTCTTTATAACCAAGCGTGGACTTACGATCAAATTCGTAACACCGACCCTTTCGCCTCATTCCAGCCGGACCAGCACCAAACCCGCCCCTGAAGCTGCTCCCACCGTTGAAATTATTGTTGTTATAGTTTACTTGATGCACGTTGAACATCTGTTCCTGTGAGCCCCCTTGACTCTCAAGTCCTTCATCCCCAAACCGCCTTCGCCTCCGTGCGCGCCGTTCATCGTCCCCATCATCGGCGCTTTCTTGAATATAACTTTCTTCAGTTTCTTCGACTTGTTCGCGTCTCCGTTTTGTTGGCGAATTGATTTGTTGGTGTGTTTCAAGATACGATTTGGATGAAAGAGCAGCAAACAACTTGCGGACAAACGGCTGAGTTTCTGTTTTTTATTGCCAAAGAAAAGAGCATAAGGACGGAAAGAAAACAAAATTAGGATTGAAAGAACGACGGGGTGGAGAGCAAGGCAAGGACCAACCGTGTTTGAGAAACTCTTCCAGTTGCTCGAGACAGTTTTGCTCCAAGTCTGCGTCGCTTTTTTCATGCTTCAGAAGAGCAACAACATATTCAGCAAGGACTGTTGGATCGGCATCGCATCTGGTGATTTGTTCGGTAAGTTACTGTCCACAGTGACAAAAAGAAGATCTGGAACCCTGCAACGGCAGGCTCCCCCAGTCCCATAATACGCTTAGATTGACTTACACTGGTTCGAGGAGGCCGACAAGGTAAGTCTGGAGGGCGATTGCTTCTTCATCAGTGAGTTGCATTTTGAAAAAGACTTCACTCAACAACAAAGAAAGAAAACAAAAAGAAAGTGTCAAAAACTGCAAAAGACTGCAAATAAATTCAAGCTGTAGACTTTAAATGTTTTAACTCGATACATGGAACAGATTGCTTCATTGCGATTTCTCCTCAACTACTTTTTCTGGTCGTTCAAAAGTGTATCACTTACATTTCCAGATTCGGTTTAGTAAGGGCATGTTAAAACGCTCGTTTTTTTTTTGTCAAAGAGGAATAAACGCGGCGTGACATTTTTTTCAAATCGTTGTCTTTACCGTTGTCACTGACTGTGGACGTGCTTCAAAACTGCATTACAATCTACTGAGCTGTATATCTAAAGAGGAATATATTCAAGAATTCAAGAAATTTTTAGTACCTTATTGACATGAAGAGCATCGGCCCCTTTAGCTTAGTGGTAGAGCGTTTCCCTCGTACATTGAGCCAGGAAAAGGTCAGCGGTTCAATCCCGCTAGGGGGCATGGTGCTGGGGTAGATAACTTATTGTTTAGTTGGTGTAGATACGCTGTTTTCGGCTAATGTTGGGAAAGGTCGAGTAAACAGTGACATACATGGTTGAAACCGGACTATGCGTGCACGTCCTTTTATCAACGTGCGGTCATCAATGTCAGTACATCTATTCTTATCCTTTCCATTTGTTTTTAATTTTGCAACATCTGATCAAAGCTGAAGTCACGTTATAAAACAACACCAACAAGGACCACCACAATCCATACACCCAATCCATGAGAAATTATTCGATCAGAATATCCAACAGACGACGCCGCTGTGGCGGCCGCGTTCTGTATAAAATACCCAGGCAACTGAAACAATTGATTGAACGCAAACTGTCCCACAATATTCTGGAATTTCGCGGTCGGATGTCTACTATCCCAGAAAAAATAGGATTCTGGAGTCGCACACGTTGAATTGGATGTTACATTGAAACACGGGTCTTTGAGGTTTGTGAAATTGAATTGCTTTGCGCCTTCTGGGGATGCTGCGAATAAAGATAATTTACTGATGTCATTGATGGTGATTGTTACGTTTGGGTAGTGGTTCTATTGGGATTTGAGGGGTGGCGTTTTGAGTATATTTCGATTGATTTTCGTTGGTGATTTTTTTTTGGGGCACCTTCAGTGTAATCATGCTTGCATTAAATAATTGGTTGAATTCTTCGACAGCCGTTTTGACTTTCAAAAAGGTTGTTTCATTCGATTGGAGGTGAGGCATCAAGTGCAAAGCCGGCATGTTGCAAGCAAGAATGTTGCTGCCCTTGTTGCTAATCAGCCGTACAACCGCATCCACGATCGCTCCTAATTTATCACACAAGCTTTAAATTTGTTTTCTCCATAGCAATAAGTTCAAACGAGGGTATTTCACCTGTGATTGAAGAAACGTAAACACTTCCTTGAAATTCCACTTGGTATAGAATATCATTTCCACCCGTAAGGATCGCAAACAAAGTCGAAGAGCCGTCCAGATTCCTTGAAACATTGTCTTTTTCGAAACTAGAGACCTGTTTCCTCAAATCGGGGAAATTCTCCGCCAGTTTCACTCCCGCAGTATTTGAAACATTAGCTGTACTTCCACCAAACGCATAGTTGTTCAAAGTTGCATTCGAAAGGTAGGATGCAAGTTCTTCCACCCAGATTGGACCATTCGAGCTATTTTTTTTATCAGTGTTGTAGACGATGACAAATACTTGCTCTTCAAGAGCCGCTGCACTCACAATCGGCCATTCCAGTATGGAGCAGGTGGGTACTTTAGTATCTTGAAAAAGTTTCCTGTATCAGTGAGACTACGGAACCAGTGATGTCAGAGCTTGGCAGGAGAGAGAACTCAACTTTTTTCACATGTACCTATCTCCAAAGGCAACAACGGTTTTGATTGACTGCCATTGTAAAGTTTGAGCCAAAAAAAGAAACAGAATGCCTGATACTCAGTTACCGTAGGAGATATAGCTGCGGATGCGGCACCGAACATCATCAACCAGCCCCAAACAAAAACCATCATTTTTTTTTTACAAAATAAACAGATAAACGACAATTATCATCATAGTGTATTATATAATACCACAAAATATCCGTTTTACAACAAGAGCGATGACAAAGCAACCGAAAAGAGAGTGATTCCAGCTAAAGCCGAAGCAGAAGAGTACAAATTGGTGATTGGGCGAACAGATGGAGCTTGAGTTGGCTTATACAAAGATTCTACAGTAGTAGCGGTAGTAGTCGCAGGCTTGGCGATGAAATAACCTGGGAGTTTGAACAACTGGTTGAATCCATATTGCGCCATCAAGTCTTGTCCGCGAGTGGACGGGTGGATTCCGTCCCAGAAAAAGTAAGTGTCGGGTGCGGCGCAGACAGTTTGAGCAGTGTAGTTGAAACAGGATCCGTCAACGTTGGCGTATTTGAACGAGACGGCTCCTTCGGGTGAGGCAACGAGAGTCAATAAGCCGTTAATGTCGTTAATAGCAATATTGGCTTTTGGAAAGTGGGTCTATTCGGAGGGGGGGATACAGTAAGCATTTAGAGTTTCAAGTTTGGTTGAAAAAGAAAAAACTCAACTGAAAGAGAGGCAACGCCAGCTGCAAGAACCTGGTTGTATCCATCGACAACCATCTTGATTTGCGCACTGAGAGCCTGGAAAGGTTTCATTCTTGGACTCAAGTGTAATGGTGCCATGTTGTTGATTAAAACGTTTTCGGCACCAGATGCCAAGAGAGTGGCAACCATGTTCACAACACTGCCTATAAATTCAACAAAGTTAACCTACGGTATACCATAGAGATGTAACAATCTACCAGCGATAGACAGAACGTCTGGAATTTTTGCTTGGTCAACGGCATAGTCAATATCATTACCACCCGCAAAAACAGTAAACAGGGTCGACGACAAGTCCAACTTGCTCGTAACCGCATCCTTCTGGAAGAGCGCAAACTGCTGGGAAATATCGGGGAGCGAGGAAGCTGGGATAGGGGTGGCACTGACGTTGACACCGGCAGCGTTAGACACATTTGCTGTGCTTCCAGCGTACGCAAAGTCGTACAACGTGGCATTGGAAAGGTATCCGGAGAGATGTTCGACCCAGATTGGTCCGTTACAGCTGTTTTTTTTTTCAATGTTGTTGATGAGGAGGTCTTGAACAGGCCTTTACAAAGATATAGACTCACAATCGTCCTTGCCAGTATGGGGCTCCTGGAATCCCATACAACTTGAACAGGTTTCCAGTGTCGCTGAGACTAATATCAACGCAGAAGGGAAGTCAACATACTGGGGTTGAAGTGTTGATCGTTTGGCTTACCTATCACCGAACGCAACAACACTCTTGATGGACTGAGCCAGAGGAAGGCTACGTCAGGCCCAAAAGGCATCGAAGGAAGTCTTTAAAAACTCACCGATGGAGTCAAAGCAGCGACAGCTGGGACCAATCCAATGAGGGCAGCAACCGAAACCATTTCCTTTGCGTTTTTTTTTTTCGTCTGAACAAAATTTTCATTTCAGCTTCAATTGCCCTGCAAATGGGCTTGCTCTTTTTTTTTTAATCACAAATTTACATCATTAAGAAATTTTTTCATAGCAAACAGATTTTTAATTCCCATCGTCAGAAGAAAGCTCACACCATAGTACCCAGAATGACAACAACAAAAAGCAATGAAATGAATCCAGACACACGGGATTCCATCGCCGCTGAATAGAGGTTTGTGGCTGGCGCGGTAGCAGTTGGAACGCCATAGACCGTGGCAGGAGTTGGTTTATAACCTTCACCGGTACTAGTAGCAGTAGCAGTAGCAGCAGCCGTAGCAGTACTAGTAGTAGGTTCCGGTTTCGCAATCAAGTACCCTGGAAGCTTGTAAAACTGATTGTATCCATATTGAGCAATCAAATCCTGGCCATTGGTTGTCGGGTGAATACCGTCCCAGAAAAAGTAAGTCTCAGGGCTAGCGCACACGGTTTTGGCGGTCGCGTTGAGACACTGGTCGCCCACATTGGCGAGGTTGAATGTCTTGGATCCTTCTGGAGAGCTGATGAATGTCAGGAGACCGTTCACGTCGTTGATGGCGATTGTAACGCTAGGGTTCTTGGCCTATGGTATGTGAAGTAATCAGAATGTTTTTTTTTTTGATTTTTAGGAATCGACTGTAAGTTACCGAGAGTCCAGCAATGCTAGCAGCAAGGACTTGGTTGTATCCATCAACTAATTTCTTGATTTGAGCGCTCAAGCTTTGGTAAGGCTTCATTCTTGGCGACAAGTGGAGTGGTGGCATGTTGTTGATGAGAATATTCTTGGCACCACCGTCAACCAAGTTGGAGACCAAAGCGACTACACTGCCTGTTGAACAGTATACATGTCAAACATGTCGCAGAGAAAAAAAAACCGCAGAATCGGCGTCTTACCTGCAATAGAACGAACGTCTGGCGCCTTGCCAGCATCAATCTGGTAGTTGATGTCATTTCCTCCAGAGAAAATCGTAAACAAGGTCGATGCAAGCTCAATCTTGCTGGCAACTGGGTCCTTCTGGAAAAGCGCGAGTTGCTGAGAAACGTCGGGGAGGGAGGACACTGGAATTGGAGTTCCGGTAAGGTTTCTGCCGGCGGAGTTGGACACGTTGGCGGTGCTACCGCCATAAGCAAAGTTGTACAACGTTGCGTTTGAAAGGTGACCAGAAAGGTGTTCAACCCAATTGGGGCCGTTGGTGCTTTATGATGGGTTTTGTTAGAGTTGGAAGAAAATTTGAAATTGCTTGAGAAGACTTACAATCGTCCCTTCCAGTATGGCGCTGGTGGAATTCCATAGATTTTGAAAACGTTCCCAGTGTCACTGAGACTGTGTTGTGATAGTAGTTTGAAAGAGTTGGCGTTTTAACTTCAATTTCCAATTTAGGGTTACGAACCTGTCTCCCAAAGTGACGATTGACTTGATTGGCTATCAAAATTCATCGCGTTAGTATGAGTTGGCTCGCTGTAAACGGTCCCAAAAAACGAAAGGTTACCACGGGAGTTGAAGCAGTGACGGTTGTAACTGCCAGAGTGAGAAGGACAAGACCAGAAACCATTTTTCGACGATTTTTTAGAAGTTTACAGTCTCTCCTCGCTTTTATAATAAGATTAAATTTGGGCTTGGTGAGCCTTATTGTTCAAGCCAGCCTCAACCAGCCACTTCTTGATTGTTTCCGGCTTTTTGATTGAACATTGTAGATACATATCAGCGCAGTTCTTGACTACCATGGTTGCCCTCTTTTTAAGTTTCGCGTTTATTTTTAGAAGCTCTCCACGTAATTATGAAGTCCCAAAGCCCCGCCAGGACGTCGTCGGTTCGGCTTCCGAACCTCCCGTTGGACATTGTAGAACAAGTACTTTGTTGGATCCATCCTGCAAAAGTATTCAAGCTTGCGGGTGTATCAAAGAGCACTGGCAACTGAATCATTTGCCTTGCTCAATTGGATGCATTTCATCATTCAAAGACAAAGTCATATGCT